TCCCGGGCCGCAGGGGGAGCGCTCGGGGAGCGGGGGGCGCGGGAGCTCGGCCTCCCCTACAAGCCTTCACTTGTTTACGCCTCTGTAATTCTCCCCCAGAAGTACATGCCTGTTTGAAATAAACTCCCACATGGGAGGGTGTACCTGAATTGTGATGCCGATGAACCTCTTTTTGGAGAGTTCGTACTTTTCGCTTCCTGTCACGATAGGCAGCACTGAAAGTCATCGTAGATGCTATTACAGTTTCTCTGAGACAATAATATTACAACCTTGCTTTATTTTGGATTTTGATTTAGGGAAGGTAACGTCATTGCAGAACCCTGTTTGCAGGGTTCTGATTTAAGACTGAAATAAAAACTAGCTGATGAAACTTGAAAATAATACTGGGTTTTTCACTGCAGCTAAGAGATGTATTCCATACTGGTAACTGCATTTTTAAAAAACTTCTAACATAGTCTTGCCACATACGATGTGAAACCTGTTTTGTTTCCTACATGTAAGTTGACCTTTCGGTCTGTAATACTGATAATTTGCAAAATGATATATGTAGCATGCAGTTTAGCCTGTTGTAGAGGCAAAGATTTTCTTTTTCATCTGATTCTTCTGCTAATGTATAATGATGTAAGATCGAGTGTTCCGTTGTGCCAGAATCAATTTTAATTTTAAAAGATAGAAAAATGTACATTTACTGTCAAAGAATCCATTTTGCAGGCAAAGGCACAAGACTACATTATGTATATGATATTCTTAAAGCATGTATAGATTACTTTAAAATTACTTTCATCATTTGACTGCTTATTTGCACTGCTTATTTGCATGTCATACTATGCAAATGAACTAATTTTGCTTATAGTTTGTGATCAGCTGTATCTGTATGTTCTTGTGGTATAGTCCAGTGTTTCTTCATATATATTCTGAGCATCTTGGAGGAGTTTTTGAAGTATAAAACATATTCCTTTAAGATATGTTCATTTTCTTTGAGACAATGAACAACTTTATTTTAATTTTCTTAACAACTTTTCTGAAGTAAAAGCTAAAATTGGGGAAAGCTAAGCAAAATTCACTTTTAAGAGTAAGTAAATGAAGTAGCAATAATAAAACTTGAAGAACATAGTATTTTTGTTCAGGATATTCTCCTGAAAGGTGATAAACTCATCCACAATCACTATTATTTTAAGCAATTTGCAGAAGTATATTTTAGATTATTGCAATGTTTAACCCAAAAGTTTAAAAGGTTTAAAAAGTAACTAGTATTATATTTTGTTGCCTTATTTATTTGTTTTGGTAGGTAAAAGGATACATGTTTGCTTCCAGTACAGAAGAGCATGTTCCCAAATTCCTCCAACTTGGGTCGTCCACCCTTCCCTCCAAAACATCAACAGCACAGTACCTTCTTCAATAAGCTTCCTCTAAACATACCACCTGCTCTTCTCTCTCACCAGCAAATTATTGATGCTCAGTTTAACTTTCAGAATGCAGCGTAAGTACAATAAGATTTGATTGGGGGTGGGAGGGGGGATCGAATTGTAAAAGACAGTTAACTGTCTTTTGAAAGAAACACTTCTGTTTATGAAGCATGGTTGTCAGTATTTTTAATATTGTACTGCATAAAACTTGAAATATAGAAAGATATCTTGTGTGAAAATATAACTATATCACTTCTGTTGGTGACCTGCAAGTTTTAATGCTCTCCTGCGTTGTGTGTAATACATGAGATATCATTTCACTAGTTACAGTTAATAATCTACGGTTTGGTTTTGATGGTCTTCAGTTGTATATGTTCACTGAGGAATCCAGAAGGGAGATGAAAAGGGGAAGAAGCATTTATGCTTGGAGTGAAATTTGAAAAATCGTAGCGCTTCTAGCCTCTTAACTTTAATGCTCCCTTAGTTCATTTGCAAAAGGTTTTGCATATTTGCTCTGAAGAATGACCACCTTCCATTTTTCAATGAAAAGTGTACTATATATTGAAACTTCATTTTGAATAGAAAGGACGCGTGTATTGTTCCTAAGGAAAAACGTCAAGACTTGCAGAGTTTTGTATTTACTGAAGAAAAGCAATCAACCAAAAACGATCTCTTAGGTATTGTATGAATAATAGTTATGGACTGTAGTCTTTCTAGGGCTCTGTTGAGTGGGAACCTTGCAACTCTTCCAGCTGTTACACCTCAGCCATTGACTTACGGAAATGTCAGTCCAGTACATACATCTACTGCCCCCACGTCATTCCGAGGAAGAAAGTAAGTTCTTTAATGAGTGTGTGTAAGTAATTACTTCTGATTATAATGTATAACATAGGTTATATAACCTATGTTTCTTGAGCAACTTGAATTTCAATAGAAATACTAAGAATAGTGAATACAGCCTTTCTGATCAGTAGGCCATATTCACATGTCATGGCACTTTAAAGCATTCATGTACTTGCTTTTGAGAATTTTAGTCAACATTAGTGATCCAGTACGTGTAGTTTTTCTCTCACAGCAGTTGTGGCCTTACAGAACTGACTTGTTTGTTTTATTTTAATGTTGCAGTAGATCATAGTCTGTGTGTGCTTGACTGTTAGAAGGTTTGTGTCAATGCATTGAATGTTTTCTTGTTGTTTTATCAAGTTGAGAGTAAAATTTCTCCTTCAGTGTTTTATGGGAATCGTGATGTTTTTCTGAGGATGCACTACATGTTTCTCTTGCTCTTCTTAATTATGTGAAGTTTTATTTTTCAAATACAAAGTTATAAATTCAAGCACTTTGGGTGGGGAAATTTTATGAAAACATAATTTTTTTCCTTTTTTGGCAAAAGCCATACTTACTTGAATTTAGGTAACTTCCTTCATGCAACAAAAAGAGAAATTGCAGATGAGAGTGCAATTTTATTTTCTCTTAACATTTTAAAAAATGATTTTCATATCCTGCTTATCGGTTTAGAAAATAATAGTTGATAAATGTTTGTATAACTTTTAATTAACTATGTGAACCAGGTGGTAGGGAAGAAGCCTTAAGTAATCCTGTCTTTGAAACTCTTGCCTGTATGTTGTTGTTCTTCCTGATTTAACAGCTGAGAGGATATGAATAGTTAAATATATAGCATTAAGCTATAGTTGGTTATATAGGTATCTCGTTAACTAAAGAAAGTCCTGGTTTTGCATGCTGTATGCATATTTTTCCCTTCAGCAGTCTGACTTATGGAAAGCTATGCTGTGTTAAGGGATTTGCAGTCAACTAGTTCTTTAGATCTTGAGTGAACTCTTCTTAAGATATTTTCCGTGAAGATTAGTTCTTGTAAGTTCTTCTCTGTTAAAATAAGCTGAAACAGCTTCATGTTTTGATTTAATGTTACATTATGCATTCCTTTAAGACTGTGGCAGGTACTGTCATTATTAACTTCTATCAGAAAGACAGCTGAGACCTTAAAAATTGAAAGGATGACTTGAGATCTTGTTAGTTAAATCTTTGTTTCATTAATATTGTCTCTCTGGGTCATAAAGCAATTCTGATGCCAACCTTTCTTACTAGAAAGAATAACTATAGTTTTATTAATAGTTAATTTGTTCATACATAATATCAATATTTGATTTCATGCTTTTTTAAAAATGTGTGAATATCCCTATATTACTTAGCTTATGTGCAGTTACTTAATATATAAACAAAATATGAATGTCCTCTTTTATATTCTTTGGTGTGGTAGACTGTGGTATTCAACCACTTTACCTTGCAGTACAACTTTTTCTTAATAAAGAGTTCAGATGCCAAGGGGCTGTCCATAAGATCACTATATCTTTTAAAACACACAGGAATTTCTGTGACTAATGAGTTAGTGTGGAGATAAAAATTTATGTTTGAAAATGAGGCATTAGGTTTATGACCTGCATAGCGTAATACAATCGTTAGTTTGATTTGTCAAATGAATAGTGGTTCTTTTTTGCCCAGATTACACATTTTACTGTCTGTACAATCTAAGCCTGCACAGACAAATGCTACATTTTGAATGGCTATTGTGGTAAGTTTTTTTTTTTGTTTGTTTTTTCTCCCTTCCCCACTGCTGAACTTCTTATTCGTCACTGGGTATTCAGAGTTCACAAAACTTCTCACTGCACTTCTGTAGATTTTAGTTTTTAAAAAGTATGCTTATGTACTCTGTATGTATCTTTTAAAAAAAAAAGAAAAAAAGAAAAAAAGAAAAAGAATATATGGTCACAAATATTCTAGCATTCGTCTTTTCTAGTTATCCTGCTTGACTGAACTTGCCATTTGGTTTCAACTGGTTAATATAAATACTCCTGTTAAGCAGTTGCATCAATCCACTTCAAGGGTAGCTGTGCTTTTGCAGTTGTCTTCTCTTGCATTTCCCGTTCCAGGTTTATTTCACCTAATATCTAGGATGGGCACGCTTTTTGTTTCTGTAGATGGTTTTAGTGAGATAGTCACAGTTAATAATCATAAGTATTTGTAGCGAGTGTACTTTAATCGTATGTTGGAGCTTGCAAGCTACAGGAATTACTGTCTTATTTTTTTTTGTAGGAGACTAAGCGAACAAAACGTTCCATATGATGTCAAACGGCAGCGGTTTCATTCACCTCATCGCGAAACAACTGTAGTTAACCAAACAGTGCCTTTACCGGAAGAACGTAGATACTCCTTCCCAGGATCCATTCCATCTCAACTGTTTCATGCACATTACCTACCAGATTTAACTGGATGTGTCCCTCCATTGCGAGACGCTTCGTTTTCAGACCCTATAGAGACCACGCTCCCTGTGGCCAAAGATAAGGTAATACCTATCTATGCCTGTGCTTTACCTTGTCCTGGTGAGACTCCGTGATGCTGGGGGAGACAATAAAAACTTCCTTGGGGTTCAGTGACATGTCATGGCATCTCTGCTGCTGAGCTTTATTTATAAGGAATAGCAGCATATCAGTAAATGTACCTGCTGTTATGGTCTTCCCAGTTCTGTATAGCCTCTTTGTTAGTATTTTGATTTTGGAGGGTTTTTTTTTTTTGTATAGTTGTTTGGTTTTTTTCCCTTGTTGATTTCAGGAAATTTACCTGTCTGATCCAGGCATAGTAGGAATTGGAAGGGTGGTTGGTGTGTTGCATGACTGGGGGAGGTCCTGATGAAATAAGCCAGTAACATGGGAGAAGCCTGTTCTGAATAATATGATATGGGGCCTGTAAAGATGTCCTCTGCTCCCCTTCAGAAGGAGATAAAAGTTGTTGTTCATATATACATATGTAGAAGAAGATGTCGTCTTCAGGTGGACGTTGGAATTGGAACTGTTTCTTTTTTAAAAAAAAAAAAAAAAAGCTTGTGGCTAATCAGTCTTTTTATATTTCATCTTGCATCAGCTTTTTTCTTTTGTATAAGTACTTCTGTTGATTATAGCGTATAGCAATATCATCATTAAAGAGGAAACAATTAACACATGCTTCCACCAAAGATCTGACTACTTCTTAGATAGTTTGAGTGGGGCTGAGATAAAAAAGCTAACTTAAATCAGTTTTTAATCTTTGTTTTCTCCCTATTATAGGTAGTCAAACTGGTGACTTTAAAGTCAGCAAAAGATGTCTGTCGTCTTTCACTGCTTGATCCCTGAAAAGCCGCAGATACTGATAGAGCAAAAGTTATCTTCTGTGGAGAGACATCTTTTTCTAAGATTGGACAAACTTTAATATTAAAAACTACAGAAATTTCTTGTGGGGAAGTGTTCAATATGAATTTAGGCAGGATAAAACTCCCAAAAAAGGAATAGATTATGAGAAACAATGCTGACATTTAATTTATTTGCTTGTTAATGCAGTCTCTTCTATTTTTCATATAATTGCATCTCTGACAGGAAAGAATGTTTTACTGCCCAATATCATTACTTTTTGAATGTGTGTTTCAAGTTAAGTCAGCAGGTTTTGGAGTTGTTTCAAGCATGTCAGCAGCAGACCTGTGATTTGAACAGAAAAGAACTCTGCAGAACAGAACTCCAGAGGGAAATTCAGCGAATTTTTCCACGTATGTTTTGAATTTGACCATTCAGTATTGGTTTGAATGTTCGTCATGATCACAGTTCTCCCTTCCTCCCAAACTAAGACATGTCTCGTCAGTTTTTCTTCTGTGATTCTTTTGGTACAGAGAGCAGACTCTTTTTGGTTGGATCCTCACTGAATGGCTTTGGCACGCGTAGCAGTGATGGTGACTTGTGCCTCGTGGTTAAAGAAGAACCAGTAAGTAATTTAAAAATATAATTAAAGTCTGTTTGCCTGGTGCACTCTCTGGAACCTGAGCACTTTAAATTCAGTAACTATTTTAAAAATGTATGTGATTTTTATCAGGCTTGATTCTAACATGAGAAACAAAGGGTCAAATCCTTTGATTTAATAATATGTTTTTACACTGATAATAGCTATGAACTGTGGCTCCCGTGATGTTGCAAATATGGATTTAACCTTATAAACCTTGTAACCCTGCAAAACCTTTGAAAATCAAGCATTACCCTAGTTTCACAAATGCACAAAGCACAGAGTAACAGAAGCGAGTTGCCTAACATCAGGAGGAAAGCTGGTTAAAGAGCTCCAATTCTTCTACATGCAGGAACAACTTTTAATAAGTGCAATTTTTATATTTATTTAATTGTTTAGATTATTAGCTAACACAATGAAAAAGCAAAACTAGGCATTTCAATAAGTGTTTGTTAAATAACTTTCCTCCTTTTCAAAACTGTTTCCATGGTGAAATTGTCAGATGAAAAGGCAATGGCAACCTTTCCACTAAGATAAAATCCTATAAGATAAGGTGAGGGTTTTTTAGAGGGGTAGTAACAACAAAAGTTTTAGTGTGCAGTCACAAAAATGAACCTGATAATGCAAACTATCTTAAATATTTTTTTGTTGAAAGAGAATTTTTATATGTGGAATTTGAGAGAAAAAACATAAACAAAAAGGTAAACAGAGGATATTTTTAGAAGAACTGAAACATCACGAATGAATGGTATTACATTTTTTATAAGTGGGGCTAGCTTTCCTTCACAGTTTGAAGATTTCTGAATGTCTGCTAGTTACTATGGATCTAAATTATTTTGTCTGTTTTTTCCTAAATTAAATATATATGTAGACTGAGGAATGTGTTGGTATGCATGTATACATGTTTACTTCTTATTATGAGACTTAATAAACTTTCCCTTTATTTGAAAACTAAAATGTGCTGGTTGTATAAGGATTAAAAAAAAATGAAATGGGAAATAACATTTTTAATCTTTAATTTTAATATCATGTTTCAGGTAAATCAGAAGACTGAAGCAAGGCATATACTCAGCTTAGTCCAAAAACTCTTCAGTACTAAACTTTGTAAGTTCCAGGCTACAGCAAGGTGGTAAGATTATTGGCAATTCTGAAAGGAGTGTTGATGTACAGTTATAACTACTTCGGTACTTGCATGTTGTCTGGTTTCTAACTGTAGTATTTAGTTTTTCTGGGCAGGAAAAAAAAAAAACCTTAGTAACATTTCTGATTTTGCTTGATGTTTGAAATAGAACAACTTAAGGGTTACCCTCCAAGCTAGTGGATTTCAAGAATGGGTAGCATCTAAAATGACTCTCTTGTGTGTGGTTCGTGATTCAAAAGTGGATTGCTGTTTGGGAAACCTCTTTTAGTTTATTTCTCTTTTACATTCCAGTGCTTTCCTTGAGACAGTGCTCTAAGAACTTGTAAAATAAGCTGTCACTCGCAGTAAACTGTGTAGGAATTTCTTTTGGACCTTGGTACTAGTGAAATAGTTAACTTAGTGAAGGAGATCTTAAATGTTAACAGTACCAGCACATTTAGGAGAAACAGATCAACTCATAGTTCTTGTAAGCTGTTGTTTAGATACCCTTTAGATGAATAATTCACAGGAGCAGTTCTTGACTTAAAAGTGAAAACCTCCTACTTCAAAAAGGTTTTTGTACCATCCTTTGAATTATTAATAGTCAACAGGATCTTTTATATCAATGACTCTGTCCACTTAGTTCTCCAACTTGTGATACGTTTTTGATGTCACTCCTTATGGTGCTATTCTGAACTATCCTGCAATGGTAAGAGGAACAAACCATAAATTTCAGTGCAGACTTCAAAACCTCTTCACTGGGAGTTGTCCGTACCTGGAATTCAACAGCTCACTCGAGGAGAGCCTGATATATCTATCTCAGTATAGACATCTGATATTTAATGGCTTATTGCTATTATATGCTGATGTTTGCATGAGTGGTCTGCAACTTAGTCTGGTGTGCCTAGGATACAAATAATTCTAGTGCTTTCTGGGAATCACAGTGATAAAACAGTTGTGTTCTCAGGACCCGAAAGGGAGCATCTAAATAAATTATGACCCTCTTTTCTAGAGGCTATGTTCTGTAAGTTGGGTTTAGACAAAATCCAGTTTGTGTACCAGTAACAAAAAGACATTGCTGTCATGTGGGAGTGATCTCTGAAGGTGTTTTTGTGTCATGGCCTGTGTGTGATGCAAGACAAGAGGGAATTAGCACAGCAAGTACCTTTCTTCAGCTTCATTTAATCAAATATTCTCTGGAAGTGTTCTTCGGAAGGTGAGGCAGGGCAAAACACTGTTAATCTTACAGCTCCTGCATGACTCTGTCAGTTGTCTTATCTGGACCTCTCAGATCATCTTTTCATAATTCTGACATCTCTTTGAGCACAATGCTCTGTCTTATACCAAGCCCTTTATCATTTTTTTTCTTCTGGTATAGATGCTTTGTGGCTAGAATTTGTAGACAAAAGTTGTTGAAAATTGTTTTGCTCAGGAATAAAAACTTTCACTTCATTCAAAACAAACACTTTTCCATATGGGTCTTTCCATTTGGCTTTACCCCATTTAGAAGCTATAGTCCAGCTATGCTGAGTTTTAATACTTCTGAAACAAATAAGAGTGCTGGTTACTTTGATTAAAGCTTATTAAGGCAAATACAATTGCTGTCATCCACATGTTCAAAGTAACTTTTCTTTTGAAGACAGACTTTGAAAGCTGTTGGATAGATTCATGTTTTTTCTCTGCTCTTGGGTAGACAGTCAGCAGTATGCTTCAGTGGCACCCTGTTTGTGTGCTTAGAAATGGCTGTTTGTTGTCAGCTCCAGATTGATGGTTAAGTTAGGTTTTTTGTGTGTTTGTTTTAAATAGCGCTGCTGCAATCTTTGTTCAAATGATTTCCTACCTCCTCCTGTTTTCAGAAGTTGTCTGCCACTTAATCGCCAAAGGTGGGATCTACAAGTACAGATATTTAGAGAATGTGTGTGGCGATTGTAATTCTTTTGAGACATTAAGTACAAATGGAATTTAGGGCTGTCATTCACCTTTTTATTGCTTAGAAGCTTGAATCAGAATTCCAGGTGCAGTGGTCAGGAGGACCATACTTGTAGCCTTAAAGGCAGAGCATGAGTGCGTGTATGCTGCTGCTGTGTATAAAAGCAAGTGTAAGATTGATCTATAACAGAGCTTCTTTAAGAATTGCAATTTCATTAAACAAGTCTTGCATGTGCATTTTATGCTTTTTGTTGCATGCGTTCCTCTTTTTAATGACAAAAATGGTATGAAACCTCTTCTGATCATTATTCTTAAGTTTTGTACTGTCCGGTTAATACGTGTGATGGTATCCTGTAATCTTAAAGGGTTACAGGATGGTATCCTGTAATCTTATTTGAACATCCTATTTAAATAGTTTCTTTTTGCTTTTGTGGAAGACAGACTGCAGCTGTGTTCACGTTCTCCACAAGTGTATGAGTTGTCATTATACTTACTCCTTGCCTTACGCAAGAGAATAGAAATAAACATAGTTTAGGCCATGCATGAAAGCAAAGTGATACGTGCCAGGATGTGTGAGAGACAAGAAAGGGGAGGAAAGATAAGTCATTTGATACTATTTAAAGCTGAATTCTTGGACTGCCAGGTTTTAGAGAAGAGTTAGAAGGGTAAGCAGAAATAACTTGATAAAGAGAATATCTGTGGTATAGATAGTGTTCCAAGCATTTTTAGCCTTTTCCCAGTTGTAGAATGAGAGGAATTGCAGTTTAGAAACTTGTAAGCAGTTTTTTTAGATGTACTTTTTAATGGCTTCATCTTTCTTTCTTCCTATACTCCAGGGTGTTCCTGTGTATTCCAAAAGGAAGGTTATACAGAGAAAGTGATTCTTTGCTTATCCTGCCTTAATTTCATGATTGACTGATAAATTGGGAAGCATTCTGAGCTCAGCTTAATTTGTCTCTTTCATAGTTTGTCTTTCAGCCTGGTCACGGTGCAAAGTGGGAGAAAGCTTCTGGTATCTAATCAGCTCTCGCTGTTCCTAGGGGACATATTAGTCTCAAATTCGATGCTGTGTTTCTGCTTGAGGCAAGAGATAAAGATAGCAGTAACGTGTTCCGTTTCTAAGGCCAGCAGAGTACATAGCGTCAGGTAGACTTGTAACGTTTTGCACATGCATGTTCAGATTACCTATATTTACAATAGTGGTTAACATCCCAGAACTGTAGACTGGAACCAACACTTTCTAGAAATGTGAAAAGTAAATTTGAGGTGATCATTGTTATAATGTATTGAAGAGAGTATATCCATCAGTATATCCACTGATAGTAAACCTCACGTTGATTAATCTCTTTAGATTCATTCAAACTAGATAGGATTCATTTGAACAACAATCGAGCAGTACTGGGTTGACTGGTGTTTAATATCTGAATAAATAAGAAAGAGCTCATTTTCTCTTAGTTATACAAAGAGGCGCAGTACTGTTGAGACTAGAATATCAGAATGGTATCTGCTCACCAGTTGTTTAGTGGGTGAAATGCAACAGCCAGGGGGATCAAGGTAACTTGAACTCAAAATCCATGAGTGAACATCCTTGAAGGACTTACTGGTAGGTGAGAATATAAAGTTCTGCATGATGGTATAGACATAAGTCTGTCTTTTTTTTCCCCCTTCCCCCCCCCCAAACACTGGGTAGAAAGCAAAATGTTCCCTGAAAAAAGGACTCTTCATTCTCTATGCATTCCTACGTGACTAGGGTTAAGATCTTAAGGCATTTATCGCTCTTTCTTGCTCATGATAAGATTGCAAATGAGATAAAGCAGTCAGAGGATCTTAATAAACATGACCTGGAAACAGTATTTCTTACACTTGACATGTCTCCCTAGCAGATTTTTGTAACTGTATGCTATCTCTAAGCTTCCTGCTATAAAAACAATTTATTAACTAGACTCTAACTTTCTTTGCTGCATTGTACAGATGATAAAACTTACATGATGTCATTCTAGGCCCATTAAGATGGACATTTTGAACTCTTGCCTAGAAGAATATTCAAATGCAAGTATTCCTCTCAGCTGAAAATATAGTCAGATTTAAAAAAAAAACAAAAACAAAAACAAAAAAAAAACCACCCCAAAACAAACCAAAACACCCCTAACTTTTTGTTCCCATTCAGACTGTTTTGGAGTAGCTGCTGTCTCCTGAGCTCTTGGTCTCTTGTTGTGATTAATACAAGTTTATCACATGATATGATCAATAAATGTTATTAGTAATTAATTGGCACTAGACTGTTGTTACTGTTTGTTTTATTCTGTATTCTTTTATTAAAAGCATGTAGTTTTCTAAGGCCTGTACGTGGACCTGATTCAGTTTATAAAACATTGTTTGATATCAATGGAGGAAAACATTTATATTCAGTCACAAACATGGTTTTACAAAAAGTTGTCACTTTGAGAGAAAAGTGAGTGAATTCCAAGCATCAACGATTAATTCATAATACTCTGGGTTGTACCCTCCTAGATCCTTCATGACTCTGCATTTGAACTGCTGTGCCACCCAGGTTCTTTCTATAGTGTAATCCTACCAATGAGACTAGACTACATGTGCAGGGTGCCAAAAACCTTTTGGCATGTACTATGTTTGGGATTAATATTTTATACAGTTGCTTTTTCTCTGCAAAAGAAAGAAGAGATTTAAGCTGTTTGATCTGAAATAATGCATGAATGGGTTACATATAAGAGTGTTTAGTCTTCTTTGAAATGATTATGTTCTTTGTTACTACAACTGAAGGGGCATCTGTGATTTTTTTCATAAACACAACAGTTGTTGAAAATTGTGGAGCAGCTATGTAGAATTCTTTGCATGGTGGTTTTTGGCCCTTCTGGTCATAGCAGCAAGATCAGATGTTCAGTTTACTAAGGCATTCAATCTGGATGTGTTTTAGAATTGCACAATCTGTGTATGTGACTCTCTTCCCTGGTATTTATGAAAATGTAATGCTTATGCACAGTAGAGATTCTGGTAATGATGTCATCAGTGTGAGCTGAAAAGAGGGTACCCAGCAGCAAGTCACTGCCTTCTAACATCCTCTCTTTGCTTTGTTTTACCCTTGGGGAACAGACTGGATTCAATGGGGTGGGTTTTTATTTTTCTTTCTTTCTTTTTCCCTTCCCTCTTTTGTTGGTCTGCCAATGCGGCAGGAGTACCCATCAAGTGTTGGGAGGCACTTGCAGACAAGGATATGCTTGGAAGTGGATTGCCACTAGAATGAATCCAGTTAAGTCCTTCAGGGTTCTTTTTAGAAAGATCATAGCAAGGAAAATTGAAGTGTTGTGCGTGTGTACACGCACACCCCTGCCATAGGCTGTGTGTTGGGCACCTTAGTCTTAAATCTTGCAGTGAAAGGAAAGGAGCCAGAGAGCTCTGCGTGCTTTATAGCCTCACATTCAGTGTTCTGAGGTGCTGGAGGAGGGATGCTTGGATGTGCCTGTAGGTGCAGCTAGGGAGAGGGGATATTTATACTGAGTTGTACTAGATTGTCCAGTCAGGTAATGTGGATCGAAATTTTTTTTTATAGCCAGTTGTAATAGTCTTTCTTTAAAATTAGTAAGTTAATAAGATTATCCTGTTTTTCATTACCAGCCTATGTGTTACTTAGGATCCTACAACGTATTCGAATTCAGATAAAGGGTTACACTGGGACAGACCTGTCCAAACATGCAGCTCCATAAAACTCTTCCAGAAAGCATCCAAAAAAAAAAACCCTAAGCCCACAAAATTTACTCTTAATTGAGTATTATACTGTAGGATTTTACTTCAAACCTGAAGTTATTACCCAAATGCAGTTTAGCTGACTGGTTAATCAAGGTTGCTATCCAAACTGACAAAGAAATGCCCCCTTTTTCTCCCAAGAAGTAAAGACTAGTTTTGTTTTGTTTTGTTTTTAAGGTTTTTTTTGTAATCTACACTACTCCTACCTTGGTCATGCTTACTCATACTAATTTTAGCTTAATTTATTCAAATAAGGAGGAAATGTATAATGTTGAATATGGTCAAATTCAAGTGCATCTACATTTTGCAGCATGAGATAACTTACTAAAACTGTTGTTTTCCTAGATTCATACTGTTAAACTATGTACTCTGCTTTTCTCTCTTTTTCCATTACCACCTTGGGCACGTTTCTTAATAAGGATTATGGTCAACTGCCTTTTATCTGAGATACTGTGAAGAATTAGGAAATCACAGATAATATGATTGCTGCAGGAGTTTTGGGGAGCAAAGTGCAAAGACGCACTTGGCAGTGCGTGAGTCTAACAGGGCTTAATAACTTCGGGTTTGGATGGCTTGGTACTAAGCCTGCATGTCTGTACTGTGAGGATAATCAGCTGAGATACAGTCCTGTGGTTGTATATCTCTTGCATGTCCTATCTCCATTAAAGCAAAAGACAAATAGAATTTACCCAGTCTTTGATGGAAAGCGATGTCATATCTGCGAATCAGATGCCTTATTTTCAGTATTAATACAATAGGAAACATATTTGTCGGTACGTATTTTGTCAGAGGAAGAGTTTGTAAAGGAAACCTCAAGCCTGCATAGTGAAGATACACTAATGTTAATTTTTTTTGATCAATAAAGTGCATAACTTCAACAGTAAGCACAATGCATGATGAAAAAGTAAGCGGATGATGTGTCCCCTCCACAACATAGTGCCAGGTTTAGGTATCTGGCCGTCTAGGGGTCTGTTCTTCCTCCCTTCTTTTTGAACTGTGATTATAATTACTCAGGATTTGTATTATAAGTACTGCTCAGTGAAGGCATTGTAGAACTGAGCTCCTTATGTTTAAATTTCTTGAATATACTTAAATATCTTCCACTAGTGCTTTTCTCTAATGTTTCATGCTTTGTTATTTATTTATTTTTTTTTTTACACAGTTTCCTCGATTTGTATTTTTGTTGCCAGTTGCTAAAGGTTACTTAATTTATCACAATGTTTTATGAGAATATTTTTGATACACTTAATAAGCTGTTACTAGTATAGGTCACCAGTCAGTTTGACTCCATGCTGCTTTTTGAAGAGGGGGGGTGTTTTTTTGTTTTTATTTTTTTGTTTTGTTTTTGTTTTAACATGAGCACTTTGCATGAGATTTAATTCGGTATTTTTCTGCCTTTCAGCAAGCTACATTGAGCGACCTCAGCTGATTCGAGCAAAAGTGCCAATAGTGAAGTTCAGGGATAAAGTCAGGCAAGTACTGTGTTCACCATCATTTCTTAGACTCTAAAACAGGACGGTACTTATCTACTGTGCGTGTGAATAGTTTCACTGAAGTCATGCTTTGCTTATTTGCGTTGTACTGTAGTGAGGTTGCAAATTTGTACAGCTAATGTGCAGTGGCAATCAGCTTACCTCTCTGCAACAGTTTTTGTGGTTGGAATGCTGTTTAGTTTCTGTGGTGTGAATTAATAGCATATATGGTTAGAATACCATTTATATGGCTAATGTCTGTGTAGTAGACTCTAGTTAACAGATGCTTTTTCACAGGAAAATAAAGGTGGGAAGAAAACTGCTGTGAAAGATAATTTAGCTTTCTGTACAAACATCTTAAATAGTGAGCTACTTAAAGAGTGATTCACAGCTGTTATATTGTATAAAAACTATAAAACAAGCCTTAGTTCTTTATAATGACATTGTTAAAATATAGAATGCCTCCCTAGAAAATAGCAGAATATAGTCTTCTAAAATGAATAGTTCACACATTTTTAATTAAGAAAACAATGTGTAGTGTTACATGCTCTATTCACAGCTTTCGGTACTGACTTGGTGACTTTTATTTTTATTTTTTAAAGGAGGGAGTAGTTGGAAAAAAGTAGATGTGTTGTACGTTACTGTTATAATGTACATTATTCTACTACCTCTCAATTGTTTTCCTGTCTTCATAAACAAAGTATAGAGAACCATGCTGTTGTTGTCATGGTTGTATGAGTATGTCACTTAAAAAAAAAAAAAAAAAAGTACAAAGCACTCTGAGAGTCTGAGTAATGTTCAAATCTTCCTATACTTATAGGACTACATCACATAAGAATTATGTATATCACTTTAATGTAATAACATCGTTTCACTATTCTTAGTGAATAGGACTTTGAGCAACTTTTTTGTGCCTAACTGTCTTATCCTGCCCACACACTTCTAAAATTCTGCAACCCTGTCTCTCTGGCCTTTAAAAACAAACCAACCCACTTCTCTGGTCTCTTTTTGTGTAGTATTCTTTTATCAGAGCAAAAACCCTGCTGTGATAGAACGGAATCTGTCATGTTCGCAATTTGAACTAATAAACACCCTCCAGTTAAGCTCCTCTTGCATTTGAGATTATACAATACTTTTTAGGGTTTTGATATATACTCTTTTCATTTACACTCTAACCCCATATTTACCTCTGTGTGGTTGTCTGCCTTTTAAAGATTCAAATATTTTTTGTGTAATACCTTTCTCTTATCCAGTACAGTAGCTTGTTTCTCCTACACTTTCTGAAAATATTAAACTTATCAAGTTAAAATCTGGGGTATACAGCTTACCTGCATACAACAATGCTAGTCTTTCTATGGATACATTAAATAATATATTCCTGGTAAAAATCTTGAGTAAATCATGGAGGTAAAGGAAGATTTTTTTTTCTCAATTTTAAATTGAGTTTTAAAAGGAAACTTTAATTATGAAAATGAATAAGTGAGAAAATGGGCATTCTTTGTAGGCATTTACAGTCCTTGCTATAGTCACTTGCAAAAAAATGTGACAGTCATAATATTCATATACCTTATAGACAGGATTTGAAGGATTCTTTCTTTCCTACTAACTCAAAGGATAATCTTCTTAGACTAGAAGCTGCCCATTACGTTTTGCGGGGGTGGGGAGGGGGAACAGTACAATTCGCTCTTTGGTTTTCCTTCCCTCCCCCCCCACCATCCAGGTATTTTCCCATTATGTACCTTTTCACTTCCATGCGTGTTTTGTCTAAACATCTGTCTCTTTCTGGTCTCTTACCAGGCTCTCTTTCCTATGTTTCCCTTCAGCTCATACACATACTCATTCACCCAAGAGGTCTTGAAAAATGGATTGGATACCCTGTAACCAGGGGACTAAACCTGTTTTAGTCAAAACCAGAAACTAAACGTGAGAAGCTTCCTGTCAATGCCAGTTTTCTTGATACCCAGCTGCTGGGGAAGGTGATAGAATTCAGTGGATGCCAATCTCTGCAGCCAGACCCAGATTGTAATGTGTTGCGTCAATGGTCAATAAGTGCCTGAAAGTTGTACCTCGCCCACTTGATTTGATTTGGTGAAAGGGAGAAAAAAAAAAAAAAAAGCATTGAGCTTGGTTTTGTTTGTTCTCCTTTTTGATCTTGGTGGTTTCTTAGTGCTTTAACGGTAAGGGAAGAGCATTGGCACTTAAAAGCTTATTATCCCTATTTTTTGTCGTCTTTCCCAAGAAGTAATTCCAAAATCAGCTCAGCTACCAGTCAGGCCTTCAATTAATTAACAACATTTCTGTAGCGCAGAGGACACAAAAGCTTTCTGCATTTGATGTGGAAATGACTTTTATTTTTTTCTCCTTTAGTGCTTTTGGTAGAACTTGAGTCAAAACAGCACAAATCCCTTTTCAGTTGCTGTAACTGCAACATTTGTTAAACGTGCATGTTAAAGTATAATAGAACTACAATAGAACTTGTTTAATCAACATCTAGTAAAAAGTAATCTTGCCAAGTGGAGTTAACTGAAATTACATATGCTGCCTGACAATTTTCTTTGCTATATTTGCACATATAACTACTATTCTTATTGGTGTTTGTGCTTATTTTAACAACTGTCAAGCAGTAGCTCAAGCAAGTAGCTCTTGCATTATTGTTTACGACCTTCTCAAAACATCTGAAAAGTCATGTTTAATATTAATTCATGTTTTAAATTGCGTAATATTTTTGATACAAAGGATATTTTAAAGTAGTTGATGTCAGAAATCTGTTCAGTATATTTATAAGTAGCTGTACATTGCAGATACCTACTCTTTCCTCAAGAAGAGGCTCTTCTTGCTGCAAGTTAAAATGTTGTTATAGTTTATTGGCCGTAAATTTGGTTATTGTATCTTGAGTACTGTATTTAAGCTGTATAAGTAATATGAAATTCAGATTATTTGATATGGTAAAATAAAGCAGACAGTACTTGTTTGCTATGCTCTTATTTGCTGTTAGCATCATGAAACAATTACTAAAAATTGCATGCTCTGAAACAGTTAAGATGATTTTCTCAAAATATACACTGTTTACTAAAAAAAACTTTCACTTCAAAGCGCTTGTTGCTTATCTCCAACCATTGTTGCAAACTCAAGCAACAGTACGGGTACTGATGTGTGTGTTGTTGAACTGGAATCTCTCAGGAATAAGAGCAGTTAAATCTGAAATGTGTAAGGAGGTTCTTGCCTTCTGACCTATTATAGTTAGTTCTCCTACTCCTTTCATTGGTGTGATATGCTAAACTAAAACCTCAGAGAATCCTGCCTGGCATCGAAAGATGTTTTATCAAACCCGCTATCCATAGTAAATCATGTATTTGAAGCCTAGTTGTGAAAAAGATTTGTTAAAAGTCCAACAATTATTTGATATATTAAGTTGTCCTAAGGTCTAAGCTTAGTTCTACCTGCATCCTCCACATAAATCAACATCATGTTTTAAAGACAATGGAATTCCAAGTCCATGGCTGTACTGTATGCAGACTCAAAGTGGAAATCACAGCCTCTAACTCTTACTGTGTGAAGAAAGAAAATCCTAGAATATTGTCTTAAAGTTGCATTTCTTTACCTCTGTCATTAATAGGTAATAAATATTCTGAAATTAAATGCTATGGCATTTGATTCATTTTCTTTTCTCCTTCTCCATAGCTGTGTGGAGTTTGACTTGAACGTAAACAATGTTGTAGGAATAAGAAATACATTCCTTCTGAGAACCTATGCATACAGTAAGTTTTTAATATATTTTATTATTTCTGTGACTTTTTGCCTGCAGTTTTAGTTTGTATTTTAGTCTTGATATATTCAACTCAATTTTATTATTCTATTATGTTACTATGTATAATTACCTAATTAGCTTCCTTAGATAGCTTTTAGGTAATTTCTTTTTGCTCTAAATGTGTGGAGGCTACACAGCAGCCATGTTTTTAATTGAATATTACAATATTCAGAAGATAACAAAGTATCTTCATATGAAGGTCCACATATTTATTACAACGGCTGCTTCAGTCTTCTGCAGATAATGAGATGGGGGAAGAGGAGCAGAACCAAATACATTATTGTATTATTCCCTTTGTACCAATGATTATCATGTGATATCGTCTCCTATTTCTTTTATTTCCCTACAGCCACTGATAGGTATGCATGACTGATAGCTAGCTGTGCTAACATCTTATGATACAGAGTCTTTCCTTGGAAAATTTGAAATACTTCTTCAATTTTTAGACTAACCGCAAAACAAAAGAGGGTTGTCTCTCCTCAGTAGTTTGCATTTCAGTAGGAGATTGTGGAACAGACTTCTAAAGAGGAAATAACAACAGCACTCTTACTGCTGAGCTAAGCTTTTTTTTTGCTTAGCATCACGATGTCATTTGGCAGATAAGTGCGTAAGGAGCAGATCTCAGCCTAATTCCTCTAGGCCACCTGCATTTCAGCCTAGTAAGGTCACCCTTTACAACCTCCTTCAGTTCTTGCATACATAAATTCCTTCCTTTTTACGGTATGAAGTTATCAGTACAAGTTATGCTTACTAGTTACTTTTGGCTAATACTTAGAACCAGGATAGTCCCACAGTATCCCATATTCAGGGAGGATCTTGTCCTGGAAAAGTTGTTTAACTGTAATTTCCTGGTATACCCAGGAAGGCATCCACCTAGAAAGGGATTTCTTTCTAAGCTTAGAAAGTTTAGAAAAATAATCTTTGTCATTCACAACTACAGGTATGGGCTCACTTCACTAAGTCTAATGTTAATATTGTTGTTCCCAGGTTCTGCCACCAGTTTCCCATGTCTCAGCACTTACTCCTCTCAGCAGTTCACTATAGGGACAGGCAGGAATTTAGATGTGAAAAAAAGCAATGGAAGGGGTCCGTGAGGCCCAGCCTTTTTCTTTCTTTCTGCCTTGGTGTCCAGCTTCATCAGGTTTGCAGGCTCCTTAATATGCACTGTCAAAATTAACGTAATGTCTCCTGATGATAGTGATAAATATCACTGTTTTCTTGAGGTCAAGGATTGAGTTACTAACTAAGGGAGACTTTTAATTAAACGGATAATTTCTTCAATGTGCAAGACCTGCATAAATAGGCAAGCTTTATCAAGCATAGTCTGTCTTCTCTTCTTTTGGATAAGAAAACTCTCATGTGACTTCAGACAAACAAACAAATGAAAATTATTATCAACCATCTAGTCTTTATATAAACTTTTAGAAGTCATATCAACCAGGTCAAATAGCATTAGAAGTGTTAGCCTGCTCACTTAAAATTTGCATGGCTGAAGGGCTTCACCCTGCATGCCAGGAAAAAAAAATTCAGTTGCCTCCATTGTGTAAGATATATGGATATTGTTATTCTGTGGAATTAGATGCTCGAGCAAACAAGGGGCTGGTTAACTTAGTGAGCATGATGATAATATTCACAAATATTTCTGTGGATGCTCTTCTGTCTTTTCCAAACCAGCCCTTCTATGTTGGTGCATCAGGTGCTGTAGAAGAGATCAAAGATTATATGACAAAGTGAAGCAGAAGGTCCACAGAAGGAGAAAATGTAGGTAGATTAAGTAGAGCTAGCATCTGGAATCTATTGCTTTTGTGTTATTGGTTGGTCACCTAAGGAGGCATGTCTGGAATGAAATCAGCAATTGATGGGTGGGATTTTTCAATTAGACTGGAAACTGGACCTTTTAGCTTTGAGAATATGACATTACCGTACATTTTCTTGAGGGAATAGACTATTGACTGATGTAAGAATGTCAGGAAAAGCTTGCTGGCAGCTAATGACACGCTAATTTAATTATATATAAACAACATGTACTAGCGTACACCAAAACCTAATCTCAGAATGAAGTTAACTAAAAAGAAATTTTTTCCATTGTGACGCTCAAAGCGAAGTCCAGTTTAGAATTTGAGCCTATTTGCATTTCTGTCTCGTGAAATATCATGTTTCTGTTATTGAGGGTTCATATGATATCGGTATACTAATTCTTCTGCATCTTATCTTATAACAGTCATAATTTTTAATGCAACCACTAGTGAAAGATGTAGAGGATTAGGTGACTGGTGGCAAGGGCTCTTGTTTTTAAGAGGTCTTCCAGATTTAATTCAGGACATTTGTTACAAGAAAAGTGCAA